ACCTGGGGTTTCAAAAGACCCAAAACCCAGAAGAATCAAATCTAATTATTCTTTTTGGAGCTCGACTCCAGAATTTTTTTTGAAAGTTTAATAATACTGATGCCATAAAAGATAATAAAATACTTGAAAATGTTAATATGCTGGATGATTTACCAATAGGAGGAAGAAGAGCTTCTAAGACTCACTGCCTGCACTAAAACCAGGAGAAGGTGAAATACATCCCTCAAAACTCTTTGCAACTTTTGCAGATTCGGGCATGTGCAGGCTTTATATAAACCCTGCTGCTCATTGCAGCACATAAACTGCTTGTCCTGGGAAAAGTGGGAAAGCAGCTGCAGAGAATGCCCAGTAGATCTCAAGAACTGTGTAAAGGAAAGTGCCAGCTTCTCACAGCCTCCCATGCTTACTGCTTCTACCCTTTTCTTTAGGGGAATCACAAACGGGGTGCATCTACATGTGCAGTTAGTGCAAATGAATAAACTCCAGAGGTTTTTGCTCCCTGGCATGTTGTTTGAATGAGTGCCCAAAAGCAATTAACTGCTGCACAAACAGCTCCAGAGTTGCATATGCAGCATGGGGAGCCTGGTCAGAGCAGTCCTGACTGGCAGGAGGCTCTAGGGATCATCCTGCCAGTCTAGAGCTGCTCCAACCAGGCTCAATGTGCTGCAGAGAGGCTGGCTGGAGCATGAGGGTGCTTCTGTGTGGGGCTAGCTGGAGGCACCCTTCACACTGAAGCATCCTCACGCCCCAGTCAGCTGGATCAGCAACAAAAAACTCTGCAGTAGGGTATTTACAAGTACTACCCTGCTGTGGAGTTTATTGGTTTCCTGCACCCTAATAGGGGTGCACTCATAGATGCTGAGATATTTACTGCAGAGCTGATTAGTCAGCTCTGCAGTAAACATCTCGCATAGATGTGCCTAGGCAGAGTTTGAATACTTTTCCTAAAGAATACTTGAATACTTTTCCTAAAAAGTTTTGCTCACCTGTAACTATAGTAATGGTCTTTCTTTTAATATCAAATAACTACATTTTTATTTGTCTAAAGAAAATAGCATTATTTCTACACTTCTGTCTGTCTGCCCATCTCTCAATTCTTCATCGCCAGGCTTCTACATAAACTCTTCCTACCTTCTTTCTTCCTGGTTTCTTGCTACTGACTTAAAGAAAAAAAGTGTATCCTCTTCTCATGTCCTTTTCTATAAATCATTTAAGAATTAGTAATTAATAAAAAATATAAATTCATGAGTACTCTGATGACGTCCCTCCTTCAGATCTGTTTTATTCTCTGTCTTTGGTGTGCATTGTACAGTTGATTTTTTTTGTTTCATCAGTTAAAAGGCTGCTGGCCAGGCTCCAAGCAGTGGGCTCACCACTGCTTCAGCTCCAGGAGGCCCCAAGATCCCAGGTAAGGTTGCTGGGGCCAGCCAAGTGCTGGCCCCAGCCTCCCCTATCCCCCCTGGAGGAACCTGGCATTCCCCAGGGACAACTAGCAGTGGCACAAGGTGCAGCTGCTAGTTGTCCCCAGGGAACCAAACGTCCACACTAGTGTGGACACAGCCAAAGAGTCTGACTTAAAGAGGCCACAAAACAGAGAGATGAGGAGCAGCTACCAGACAGCATAATTGCCCTGAGAAAGATTAGCTTGACTAGTGGAGTATTAAGACCATTAAAAAGGAGAGAGGATAGTTAATGCCTGTAGAGTGAAGAACAATTAAGTCAATTGACTCCTTCAGCTGTAGGACTAGTAACACCACAGCTACTGCATGTGGAACAGGAATCAAACCAGGGCAGAAAATCATCTTCCCCACTTAATACATGCACCCCAAGTTTGGGCTGATCTTGGGGGAAAGTTGTGTGAAAAATATAGTACTATTTCTACAATTTATTCCTCATTTTTCAGCATGTCTTCTAAGAACCAAAATGGATTGAGCAAGCAAATACATCTTGATGTTTGTCAAATTTTTTCAGTGCAAGAAAAAATCAAAGTACCTGCCAGGTTGCTTGGTTTTAAAGTACTTAGCAGTGGCAGAAGGATTTGATTTTCATGCTTCCCCCACAATTCTTTTAACCATTTAATTGAAACACTGCTGAAGAGTTGGATTGTTGTAAGTCTCTCCCCCTCCCCCCACAGTTATATGTCCATCATTATAATTTGTTTAGTAGATATTTAACCAGGGGGGTGTCACATTCCATATTTTACTTTGTTTCAAGAAAGTAACTACTCATTGCACTGGAAAATGATACATTAACTAACACAATGAGAGTTCCTCAGAAATTTGCCAGCCCACAAGCATCTTTAATCCTGTTTGTGAGAAGGGAGAGAGAATTCAATTGGCACAGTCTATTTAAACTGCTCAACTAGGGGGAAAAAGTACTTGAAATCAGTCTTTATTTGAGTTTGAGCCCCTTACGCAAACATAATGAGCTTTCTTAGAACTCCCAATGTTTGACTCACTTGGGATATTGGGTGGGATAGTTTAAATGGGGGAGGGGAAACAAGGCCACTTTTGCACTGGATTTTCAGTTTAGAACAGACCTAGGTAGAAGTAGTCTTGTGGCGTTTATTCGAGTTCCCTGACAAGGCAGAGCCAACCCTGCATGCACAAGACAAACAGCAGGGAATTTGTATTCTCAGAGATAGATAAAAATCTCTATTTCATATGTTGGCTGTGGTGATGAATTCAACGTAACGGATAATCAGAAATATAATCTCAGCTCTGCTTGTTTACTGAGGTTTTAGTTCCTTGCAGCTACTGCCCCTAGAGTCCATTCATTTATGCAACTTGGGAACTGGTTTATTTTTCTATTCTAGACCCTAAATAAATAACAGTAATAATAACATTCACAGTAGCACTTATTATTCCATTCCAAAACTTAAATAACTCACATTTTACTATTATTTATTATATTTTGCTTATAATTATACCTGTCCTTTTAAAGGAACAGGGTTCTGAGAAAAATCATTGTTCTTTTCCTTTGTTGCCTCAGAGACCAACCTTAACTATGCAAGATAGACCTGTGTGTAGAGCCCCGTTCACGTCAATGAGCTACTGCCTACTTGTAGGACCTGGGCTTTAATGTGTCAGTTAAAACCTGTGCTTCACGAATATCTACCCTTTCATAGTCCTTTACATATACTGTCTGAACGGATTTGTTTTGCCCATGTTTATAATTCTAAATGAATGTTGGTAATTTTCTGAAGCCACTTTACAGACTCAAGTAGCTTTGCCATTCAAACAGGCATCAAGCAGGGCTGTGTGATTGCACCAATTCTGTTTTCCATCTTTCTTGTGGGCATCAAGATGCTCATCCATGACTGTCTGCCACATGGCATTGGCACTGAGTACAGGATAGATGGAAACCTTTTCAATCTCTCCCACCTCTGTGCCAAAACTAAAGTTGCTTCAGCTTGATTGTGGAACTTTAGTACGCCAATGTGCTCTTGTTGCATATACAGAAGAGGACCTACATACAGCCCTTAACTGCTTCTCAAGCATACCAGTGCCTGGGACTGACCCTTAACATTGTAAAAACAAAGGTGCTTCACCAGCCTACTCCAAGCCAATCAATTCACCTAGCAAAGATCTTCATTGACAGACAAGAGCTGGAGAATGTTGAACACTTTGCGTAGCTTGGCAGCCTTTTCTCGAGAAAGGCCAACTTTGATGAGAAGATCCAGCATAGATTTGATGTGCCAGCTCTGCCTTTGGAAAACTGAATCATCATGTGTTCAATGATTACATCAGGACTTGAATAAAGTTCATACAATATAAGGCTGTGGTAATCCCAACTCTTCTCTATGGCTGTGAAGCTTGGGTGACCTACAGGACCACCTGACCACCTGGAATGCCTTCACCTGTGCTACCTCCAAAAGATCCTTGGCATAAAGTGGGAGAATTGTCACACAAATGCCAGTGTCCTCACAGATGCTGACACAACCACTATGGAAGCACTGATTATTCAACATCAGCTGTGGTGGACAGGGCACTGTGGGCACATACCTGATGTACATTTAACAAAATAACTGCTATATTCCCAACTCAGCCAAGGACAAAGGACATGTGGGGAGGTGAGGGAGCAGAGGAAATGCTTCAAGGACATCCTCAAGACAAACATTAAGAAGTGTGGCATTGACACTACAGATTGGGAAAAACTAGCCCGGGACAGGGCTACAGGGTGACATCTTGTGAGAGAGCATGCATCTTACTTTGATAAAAACCGTCTCACCCTGGAGGCAGAAAAATGATAGAAACAGAAGGAAACAAAATCAAGAAATTTGTGTTCTTTCTCTCCCTTTAACCATCATCTGTAGTGTTTGCCAGAGAGTTTGCAGCTCTAGGATCAGTCTTCTTGGCCATCAACGAACTCATTTACAACCCTTTACTTGACCCGTGTGACAGATCATCTTTGACCATCAGGGATCTCTGCTGCCAACAGGGGAGAGTCCACAATTTCCCTAAGAAAGAGCAAATGGAGAAATAAATTTGCTCTTAGGTTGCACAATTTTGAGAAAAATGGTGGCCTGGTGGAGTGTTAGACTTGCCCCCCACATACTAGCAGAATTAAAAGTGGTATGATGCTCCTCAGGGTGAGGTGAGATGAGACCTTTTTCTCTTGTAAAATCATGGAACGACTGTCTTGCAAAACACATAAAATTGCCTATACAGTATTCTTACTATTTTTAATAACATAGGTTGACACCCAACAATTTCTACTTCACTTTGTCCTTCTTCTTGAAAAAAATAGTATTACAATTCTCTATAGTGCCAATAGTTTTTAATATAACTTACAATATTGGGTTTTTTACAATTTGTAAGGGGTACACAGTATTTTCTTCATAACAATGTAAATACCTCTGTTTCTCCAAAGGAAATCCAGGTCACCTCCATATTTAGGAAAATCCATTCTCCATTCTCTGGCTAGTAGATGCATTACTATTTATAGGAAACTTTTCCTTCAGTATGCACTTGCTGGTCTGTGAGAAGAACTGGAACTATTTTAAACAAGTTGGCCAGATCCAGTTCTGGTGTTAATTTAGTTGAGGTTTGTTTGCAGCAAGCAGTATATTCTCTATGATGAATTAATTAGTTTGTAATCTAGCAACTATAGTGCTACATACCTTTGATAAAAGGGTCTTTTTCCTACTGATGTTCTCTTTGCATTCAGTGAATACTTCTGAAGTAAATTGACATGGTACAGTTCAATTGGCATTCTTGCATATCTTCTGTATCAGTGTCAGGTACTGAGGATCCAGTGAAATCAGAGACAAAACACCTATGACGTCCACTGGGTGTTGGGTCAGCCACTTGGTGCAACTTCTAGGGATAATGCAGTTTGTGTACCTTTTCTCTCAAGACTCTTTGCCATGTACAACATATCCTGTAGCTCCTACAGAAACATGCTCAGTAGTTCCAGTCATTGGTAATCCAGTCATTACCACAGTGCCAATAATAAATAACCAACAATAATTGGTCCCATGAATATTTTTATACTTCTTTTGATTACTAATAAGTTGTTTCTCAAATACCAAGGTTTAACTTTATAGAATTTTTTTTCTAAAGCAAAGAAGACAATTAGAAAGGCCTCCCTATCACATGCAAGTAATCCAAGTAGTTGTCTATACTGTTATCTTTTCTGTTCAGCAGATGGCTCAGCGATGCTTTAGTCAGGCACAAGTGACTGCTGAATGGCAATCCAACTCCTTTTGGAGGGCTAACTAATATTTTATTAATAGCAACTAAATTAGCACTCAGCTACCACTATCTCACCAGCACAAGCTACTGAGACTGAGAGAACATATTAATTGGTAGGTTGCCACATAAATATTTAGGTTTGATAGAAATGAAATTGTAACATTATCTCTAGATTGTCTGTTCATTCTTAATATTCCATCTATTTCTTTAGTTGTATTCCTTAGAGATATGATCAAACAACAGTTGTAAGATCAAGGCTGGTTTTGAAATATTAATGTTAATTTGATGTTCTTTGGAAATCTGAAGGGATTTGTCTGGAGACATTTGCCAGGTGTTTCTGTTGTCTTTGATCTTTGGCAGCAGTTGGGAGCTTTTTGTGTAGTAGTTGTTCTCTGTGGCTCCTAGTCAACAAAAGATTTAAGCAGCTGCTTAACTCCAGATATGTGTTTCGATCCATTACTATTCAACAGAGCATCTGAGCATGTTTCAGTCAAATGCAAGTTCCTCGTGCACTTAACTGTCTTGCTAAAGTGGGAGTGACTTAATCAGAAATCTAACATTGTGTGGTTGAGTCTTTGTTGAACTGGTGCCTTCCTGTGTGATGCTTTCATTTTAAGCCTGAAACTGGCTGGATAAGTATAGCCCAAGCACAAAAGGTCTGTTTCACTCAGTTTTATCAATACTCTAGGGAAGTCAGAAGACTTAACATTTGAGTTATAAATATTGTTAGCAGGGCCTACAGTTTGAGATTGGAGTTGTAGAAGTTTTGGATATAATAAAATATGGCTCAGAAGTCTAAATTTTCACAAAAGAAGGGACTTTCAGAGGTGCTAAACACTGGCCTCATTTCCCTGCCACTGTACCAAAAGTCCAATTGACCTCAGTGGAAGGAGACTTAGGCCAGTGCTGAATGCTTTTGAAACGTCAGCTGAAAGATATCCTTTCCCTCACTTCCTCAGCAGTATGTAGCTATGTTTAAAAATAATCTAAATCATAGATAGGAGGAGATACACGTCCCTCCACCTACCTTTGCCTCTCAGCAGTGCCCCTTCTCCCTATCCTATCCTTTCCTCCTCCTTCCCCTATCCTTTGTGTTTAGATTATATTATTCTTTTCTATTTAGTACCCTTGCCCTTGGCAAGTCCATTCATAGCATCTGACAAAGGAGACTGTCACTGAGAAAGTTTACGCTTTTCTGAACAAATTAGTGTCTACGGTGCCATCCTGCCCTGCCTTTTGCTTGACTTCAGACTAATGCGCATTTATACACATACATTTTCGTGCTCAGACGTACCAGATCTCTGGTGCACATGACCTGAAGCGTATGGCTCTGGGTCACTTAGAGTTGTATAAGTGGTGAAATGTGCATCAGTGTGGGAAAAATGGTGGCAATGCACTTTTGAACTAACACCTTCTATGTGTGTTAGTTCAAAAGCAGACTGCCACCATTTTCTGCATGCTGACATGCATTTTGCCACATATGCAACAGCAAGTGATGCAGCGCCAGGTGCTTTTCAAAGCACATGTTGCTGCAGCGCTTGCATATGTAAAAATGTGGCTAATTGGTTGTGGCTAAATGTGGCTAACTTCCTCTTTCTTTGTAACTGGTTACTAATGCATATCACTGAATTCCTCTGCCTTAGGAAGAGACAACTAAGATAAGAGTAGTGAATAGAAAAGGAGAAAACAAACAAAGGAATGGACATGACGTGTCTGCTAGAGGCTCCTTTCATTTTTCTTGAGGTTACATGCCACCAGTTCTCTACTCTGGCCAAATTTCAGTCAGGATCATCTAGAACACAAGTAGGGGTCTACTTCCATTTCTTTTTCCTTAGGCCTGGTCCTCCCACTGGGGCTGTGAGGAAACAATGGTATAGTGCTGCTCCAGTGGCCTGTGTTACCCATGGATTCCCTTATGCTTCTGTGGGAAAAAGGGCCTTACAGCTGAGACTCAAATCTTTTATGTTATATTTATGACACAATCTCCTCTTTTGGATCAGTCACTTGAAGAAAATGTTGATTTCATAACTATCACGCGTGTGCTTCACTGCCTCATCCCATGGTGTGTTCAAGGACACTGCTGTGTGAACAGGCATTATCCATAGATCTGAATGAAGCAGGATTGGGCAGTGAAGTCATCGTTTTCCCCTTCCCCCTCCTCCTCATATGACCTGGAATCTTGTCAGTGCTTAAACGAGTTATTCATGTTACACTTCTGGGCTGACTGCAGGCAGCAGGACGTGGCGAACTTCAGTTTCAAGGTCAGTTCCACTAACTCTGCTTAATGTTAATTCACAGCTAAGGGTGACATTTAAAATAGGAGGCTTCTTGAAAATGAATTCAAAGCACCATGAAGCATAATGTAATTTGGATATAATTTACCAATTTGCATAACTGCTCAGAGAACAATGGCAGAAAATGTGTCGGCCCACTGTGCAGCTTCTTCAGATAAAGGCACTCTGGTAGCACCTTAAATAAATGAAAATAAGATCTGTCTTGCAGAATTGTAATGGTGTTTCCATTACAGAACAACCATCTTAAATAGTCAGTGATGTTTATAAATGCCTGATGTTAGGCAGGTTTTGGCTTTGTCTGCACATTAGAAATATGCTTTCTTTCTATACTATAGCTAATCCTGGAACATGATCAGCACCCATAATTCTTGTTGACTTCAGTGAGAGTTTGGGGCTCAGCACCACCCCAGAATAGGTTGTTTGGAGTAAATCAGCCTCAAGGGAATGACACCAGTTTCTACCAGCTCAGGACCTGGCCTGGAATGCTTTGTTGCGAACGTGCAGTTGCTTGAACTGTTCAGACCAACATTCCTCATCATATCTTTCTTTTTGTTTCTTTCTCTGTAAGTTGTTTTCAAATGAGAGGATTAGTTTTTATATCTGCTTGCTGATTAGTGGAATTATGAACAGAGAGAGATTAAATGTTAGCCTTTTTATTAGTGATACTGCACATTAAAACTAAAATGGTTGTAGAGACTCCTACAGGCTCTTTTATTTCTAATGAACTCAGCCTAAGAGGTTAAGCAGTCATCCTTAGGCAAAACTGAAAGAATACTACTATTTTTGGGACTTTAACATTTTTGCATGGTAGCAATATTGTGCTTATTTTCATAATGGTGAGAAACAGCATGATAAAAAACTGATAACAGTGATTGTCTTATGACATTTATTACAAATATTTCTAAAGTGCTCACAACTGCAGCAGAAAGGTATAATGGCTTGATCCAAAGCACATTAAAGTCACTGGAAAAATTTCCACTGGCAATGTGGCAATGAAACAAGGCTCCAAAGGATAAAATTGTTCTGTTATTTTATAGCCGGTAATTATTCAATGGTTCTGATCCAAAGCTTTTTAAGAAGTCTATTGACTGCAATATTTATCATTAGCAAAAATAGCCTGTTAACTGGTTAAAGTATGTATATACACCGTCTGTGTATGTGTAAACTATAGCTTTAACTATGATTCTGTGATGCTTCTAAAATGTCACTCAGGATCACATGATGTGCTAGTTAATACCAGCAGTGACAAGGCTCCAATAATCTAGTTCTATTTCTAGAAATACCAGTTTTCCTGCCTCTACTCCTTCCAGTATCTTTTCCTCCTGATAAAAAAATGTATATGGTTCCTAATATAAAATAAAAGAGAATCAAAAATTTGTTGTCAGCTACACTGATCCCTATCTAAGAAAACGGATTTTCCCCCCTCAATTGAGAAAGGATTCTTTAAAGAAGTGGGTTAGCACTATTAGGAGTAGACATTTTCAGATGTGAATTTAAATATTTTGTTTCTGTGCAAATAATTAACTCTCTGGGTACATGCATGCATGTAAATAATCAGGGAGCACTTTACTCTTGAGTAAACTACTTGAGAGTATAAACTCTTCCAGGCACATGTCTACACACGCAGGGACACAAGAGCAGATTTGTTGCTCCTAGCAGCAGACTGCTTCCACTCCCTATGGCCCTACAACAGGCCCCTGCAGCAGCCAGTGGGAGATCTAGGCTCCCTGTGGGTACTAGTTCAGAGGCCAGGAGACAGCTGTCTCCTGGTGGGGGGTTGGGACATTGCTGCCTGCTGCTGGGGCAGGCTCTGCCACGGAAGCCTGAGCAGGGACAATGTCCCCCTGCCCTGGCAGCAGGGATCTCCCAGCTCCTGCCCTATGGCTGGGGAGCCCAGGCTGGGAGATCCCTATCTCCCAGCTGGAGTCCCATGGTAGCAGGGCCTGGGCTGGGAGATCTTTATCTCCCAACACCAGCTTCATGGTTGCAGGGCTGGCACTGGGAGATCCTTCTCTCCCAGCCCAAGTCCCATGGTCACAGGGCCTGGGCTGCGAGATCCTTGTTTTCCAGTGCCAGCTCTACAGTCACAGGGCCAGTGCTGGGAGATCCTTCTCTCCCAGCCTGAGTTCTGTGATCACAGGGCCTGAACTGGGAGATCCTTATCTCCCAGCTCCAGCTACACAGTCGTGGGCTGGTGCTGGGTGACAACAGAGCGGGGGCTTAGGGGTCCCTGCCTGGGCTCCAGTGGTGGAGCCCACCCCAGGAGCAGATATCTCCCAAGGGCAGGGAGCAATCTATCACCCTCTGCTGCTTGGCTGACCAGGAGCACATTTGCTCCCAGTTAGGCATCTACACATGTGCTACTGCGCAGTAAGCAATTGCAAGTAAAATTTGCTACTTGCATTTGCACGTAGCAAATTTACTTATGATTAGAGCCAATTACTGCACAGTAAGCATCGGCACATGTAGATGCAGATGGTTACTGTGCAGTAAAGTGATTCATGTGGACTTACCCACTAACTCTAACAGTAATCTGGTAATGCTAGAATATGCTGAAAAAGCCTGCAGTGATTGCTGCTGATCTGAAGTGAACCCAATGGTTAAGAAAGAGGGGGAATTTTAGGAAGTGTTGGCTCATGCAGACTTTGTATATATTTACATTTTTTTAAATCTGATTAGGGTTTGCATTAATATTAAACATGGATCTAGATTATCCAGAATCTTTGGAAAAGTTCAAATTCAGCCACTTCAGATCTATATTAATGTGATTTAAGGGCAGAATTTGTTTAAAGCTCCATAAGTAGGCCTTCACCTCTTTCATCCTAGGATCCCATCTAATTGCAATAAGTTCTCCTTACATGTCATTCAAAATCCTTTGTGTTGATTCCTAGCGAGTACCAGAATTGCTGCAGTTGTTTCTATTATATTCAACAAGACATTTCCATCCCTTTACACTGTACACTGAGGAGTTGGGTTTTTATATTAAAATAGTTTTAAAAAATGAAAACATGGTCTTCGAAAGACTGGATACATGCGACTGATCAAATCTGCTTCAGGCAAAACTAGACGACACCCAATTCTTACTAGAATTGCACCCAATTCTTACAAGCAAACTGAGTAGCTGTGATGTGGATTTTTTCACAGTAAGGTGGGTGAAAAACTGGCTTATGGGACACACCCAGAGAGTGGTGGTGGATGGGATGGTTTCTCCCTTGAGAGATGTGGGCAGTGGTGTTCCCCAGCGCTCTGTCCTTGGACCAGTGCTGTTCAATATCTTCATCAGTGATTTGGATGAGGGGGTTGAAAGCACTCTGTCCAAATTCGCAAACGACACTGAACTATGGGGTACAGTAAACACACTGAAGGGTAGGGAGCAAATCCACATGGATTTGGATAGACTGGGGAAGTGGGCAGATCAGAATAGGATGCAATAAACAAGGATAAGTGAAGGTGATGCACCTAGGGAGAAAGAATCTCCAATACACCGATAGACTGGGAAGTACCATTCTGAGTTCCACGGCAGTGGAAAGAGATCTTGAAGTCTTGGTCGATGCAAAAATGAACGTGAGTTGCCAGTGTGACAAGGTAATAAGTAAGGCTAACCGCATTCTTTCTTGCATTAGTAGGTGCATCACGAACAGGTCTAGGACGGTGATACTTCCCCTCTATGCGGTATTGGTCAGGCCACAGCTGGAGTAGTGCATCCAGTTTTGGGCACCACACTTCATGAGGAATGTGGATAACCTTGAGAGGGTTCAGAGAAGGGCTACTCGTAAGGTTGAGGGCTTGCGGATAAGATCCTATGAAGACAAACTGAGGAACCTGAATCTCTTCAGCCTCCCCAAGAGAAGGCTAAGAGGTGATCTTGTGGCTGTCTACAAACTCGTCATGTGGGGTCAGCAGGGAATAAGGGATACTCTGTTTACTAAGGCACCACTAAGGAGTTACTAGAAATAACAGTCGCAAACTAAAGGAGAGTAGATTTAGATGGGATACCAGGAAGAAATTCTTTACAGTGAGGGTTGCCAGAATCTGGAATGGGCTTCCAAGGAAGGTGGTGCTTTCCCCTACCTTGGAGGTGTTCAAGAAAAGATTAGACAGGCACCTAGCTGGGGTTATTTAACTGCAGTGCTCTTTCCTGCCTATAGCAGGGGGTTGGACTCGATGATCTACAAGGTCTCTTCTGACCCTAGAAATCTATGAAATCTATCTATGAATTCTAGAGAAAAGGCCATAACCTCTATGCTTATGACCTGCTAGACAGTTCCTGCCAATTCCCTACAGGTCACAAGGTATCCATAGGTTATAAACCATTGTTCTAGAAAGAGCACTTCCAAATTGGCTCTGAGTTTTGACTACCCTTTTATGGTGTTCAGTAGTACTATGAACAAACAGGGACCATTGCATTTGTGCTTTGAAATCTAAGTACAGACTTAAAACTTTGTGTTATATTATTTAATCACTGCTTTTTATATTACTGTTACATTTATTCCCAGGCAAAATTAAACATTACATGAATGAAATTACATGCCATAGCTTTGATCCACAATATGCCGTGAATTATAGGGTACTGAACAAAAGATTGTTTACTAAGACAGAATCTGATCCAAGGAACATACCTAGCAACTGTTGCCAGGTTGGTTGCTTCATTTTTTCTTTCTGCTGTAGAATGAAAATTTTGTCTTCTTCAAGTGTTTCCACAAGTGAAAAATGACCTTGGGAGTTTGCTTATATGGTACTTTATGCACTCTCCAGGCCTTTGCATTGTGCTCCTGACTATGATATTGGGCCAGGAGTACAGGTGAGCTGCAGCCTTTCTCAGGCAAGTCCTGTGGTGCTACCACAGGCCTCTGATGGACAAAACGTGTAATGCCTAAGCATTTTACATCAAGTCTTAAGACCCGATTTACATCCCAGAGGCCATGAGAAAGCCTGTGCAGCATATCCAGCTAGAACAAGAGAAGAAA